ATTTAGTTTCCAACTAGCTTTATAATTTCTAGCTTAATTAGGATTTCTAATATTTTATTGCTTTAATAATTCCCTAGGTAGATTAGGACTAGATATATTTTGTGCCTATACAAAGGCCTCGTCCCCCATGTTATTTTGATCATTGAATCATCCAAGAATTAATAGGAACTCAAGAACTTTTGTTCATCCTCTTTGCTTTAGATTTTCACCAAAATTCTATAGCAATTATATCGTTTAGAGGGGTGCGGTTTGTGAACCTCTAGGCAACTATCGGCGATTCAAGGCACTGGTTTGTGGCTTATCGGCAGTCGAAACACACGATCTTCATCAACGCTGTCGTGCGTTACGGTACGCTGACGCGCATGAAAGGGGGTTGGCGTGCTACTAGCGTCGCCCGCACACTACCTCGCACAGGCATTACGCACGCAGCTTCGCTTGCGCGCGCTGCCTGCTGCACGGACTGCTAGCCGATGCGTTGCTGCCGCTGTGTGCGGCAGCGCGACCACGGCCGGCCCTTGCCGGCCGTCCGGCAAATTTTCCCTTCCGAACTGACTTCTCTTAACCTTTTATGACTTATCATGAATATAATTATCATAATGACTCGAAAACGTAACTAATGCACAATGAACATGAAAGGGCCGTGGCGGGCGCGCCGTGCGCCGCCGACGGCTATACGCCGTCTCCCGGCCACAACTCCTTTTTCCTCAGCAACTACAGAACAACTTGTCATGAACATTATATTGAGGCAATTTAAGACATAACCACACGGACGAACTTGATCATTATTGAAATCACTAGGACATGAACCGTGGCCGCCCGTGGCCATGCGCGATAGGCGCTAGCGACGACTTGGGCCAATTCATCGACAAAACTTCACTTTGCCTCGACTAATCTGAACTTACTGAACATGAAATAAGCTAAGCTGAACAATTAGACATTAACGGTTCAGAAGTTGCCGGTTAAAACGAAAGCAATTCGGTCGTGATCTTACTTAAGCATATTCGGACTTAAGCGTGCCTTTACTCGAAATTCTCGCACATAGATCGAACACTTAACCTTAACATGACCTTATCAACATGAATATAAGCTGAAGAAGGAGTTACCTCTCGAAACGTTCGACTGAACTGGACGATGGGTGCAATCCCTTGACCTCGCGTACGCCGTGCGATGCCTTTTCCTTACGTTGCTACGAGAAAATTGGGGAAATAAGAGGGAATTTGCTTAATCACTCACGGTTAAAGCCCTAATAACATAATTAATAATAATTACTTACTCAATTTATGTTTAATTATTTAATTAAACATAATGCTTAATTACCAAAATTATTCCGAACGTAAACGGTACGTCGAAAATAAATTTCGGTAATCCCGACTGAACCTAATTAATTCCGAAAATAATAATTAATAACGTTATTATATCAGAACTAAAACATAATTTATACCGATAACATATCGGGATATTACAATCGTTTTATTTAATTGATTAAATAAATTGTCTTAAATAACCTATAATTTATATTATAAAAATATATTTAGTATTTAATGTTTGTTAGTTAACATATTGTATTTATTTTTTATTTTTCCGCTTACGCCGACTTCTTTTTGAGTCAACAATCCTTGTGACAAGATCAGTAAGGGTCAAGTCAACCCCAGGCTGAGACTCTCTCACCAGACTCGTCCATTCCTGGAGCCAAGTCGTTATTGGGCTTTCCCTTTCACCAAAGTTACTTGGGAAACTACCACGAGGGTCGATGTAATTGAGTCTTTTCCAGAAAGAAAGGTGTTTGTCCCATTTTTGTTACGTTTTTCGTGATTATTTTTTCCTTTCTTTTCCCCCATTTTATGTTTCTTTTATTAGTTTTGGTCCGTTTTGCTTCGTGTCGTGTGTTTTCTCTATTTTAGAGTCTTTGTGTATTTTTTCGGTTATTCTCTTCGTTTTCTCCGTTTTTGTTTTCCTATTATGGTGTGCAGGTTAGGACATAAATATGTTTTGCAAGCTTGTAGAGGGATTCGTCGGAGTCACATAAGGAGAAGCACAAATCCGGCCCAAGCTCGAACGAGTTTAAAAGAGTCCCAAGCATGAATCCGTGCAAATCGTCCGATAGCGAGCCTCAATTGTCGGTGTCGCGCAGCATCCCTTTTCACGGCTCGTACAGTTCATCCCCTTCACGGAAGTCCATCTTCATCCACACCGTGAATCCACCGTGCCGCGACATCACTCTCGGACCTCCACGCACAACACGCAGCTCCGCTCCCCCAAACCTTAAAGCAGCCACCACCACGCTGCGAAGCAGATGGCCAGAATGCGCGCAGATTAGTTTTTTTAATTAGAGCAGATTTTGTTTTTGGACGATTCATTCTAATTCCCAGCAGCTAGGTTTTATGATTTTTTTTCGTTCCTTGGTTTTGGAAAAAAAAACTTGTTCTTTTCATCTCCTTTAATAATTATCGACGGAAAACACGGATCGGATTTCAGATTTTGCTATTTGTTTCGGATTAATCTTGTTTACCGGATTATTTCTCGATCTCTATTAATCGTAAGTGTTCGATACATTTAATCTATGAATATGATTGCTTTGATTATGGATGTTTGTGTTAATTATCAGATCATGAGTAGCTAAATCAATATGCTAGGGATTAGGGGATTGATGTTTTAGTTAGTTCGTGATTGTCGAGCTTGAGATTGTTCATATTGTATGAGTTGCTCTTTTTCTAGGGTTCTTCAATTATCGTATTTGAATATTGAGGATTATTGAAGGGTGACACTTCAATTTCCAATTGATTTCAATTGAGTTCGATTTATTCTTGTTTGATGTTGTTAATTCTAAACGGGCTAGTTGATTAATCATCTTCTAGTCTAAGTTAATCGACTCTTAGAACCGAAAGGGGAGAAGTCGGTCGAAGTAAGCTCGTATGAACTAGGCTTGTTCGTTGCTGTATTGCCTAGGCGTCAATTGAATTGTTAATTTGTCATTTAAGCTTGTTCTCTTGTTACGAACAGTTATTGAGAACGAAAACTTGAACGATAGGTTATTCAAATCATTTAACCGAATAATCTCTTGCCCATCAATTGCATTTTCGAATCAAAACGGATATCCCCGACTCCCTAGCTCCTTTAATCCTATTTGTTCTTCGTCTTAGCTCGTTATTTTTACTGCTTTATTTAAATTTTCATGCTAGTAGATAATTAAATCAAACCCAATAATTTGAATTAGTATGTTTAGGTACTTTATTTCTTTTCGTGTTTGAATAATCGTACATTATATTGCGGCTGACAATCCTCGTGAGACACGACCCGGTGTCCGAATCTTTCGATTCTACTCTGGAAAATATTTACAACAAATTGGCGTCGTTGCCGGGGAAGGTTTAGGACATACTTTGTGCGCTTATTTAATTTATTTTTCGTGTTTCTCTTGTG